AACTGTTCTATCCTGTATAGGGCGAGTCTTATTTACTACGCATTGTTCATCAGGTATACCCCGCTTATGGGAATTGTCGTATCTGATACTCAAACCTCAACGAGTAAAAAGGCAGTTACACTAGGAATGGTTGTTTCCATCTGTATGCTTCCAATGCTCAAAGCAACGATCAAGGTAAAGCACGAACTACCTTCGTTAATCTAGTGGCCCTAACGGGATCCCTTTATCACAAGGATATGCTCTAGGAGTTACTGTATTCATATTTTTCCGGTAGGGTACGGATGTGCAATGAACAAAACCAGTCGCATAAAATCAGACACATTTTCATCGGGAATTCCATACATAGTATGTTGTTGAATGCTACCCGTATTTTTGAAAACCATGACATGCATGGGATAGTTGGAAACACAGTAGGAAATGGGAGGGGTACACTGACAACTTTGTTCATTTATATGAATGTGAAAAGCTTGTTGAACGAGTACTTGACAGATTTTTGGGAAATGTTTTGAAAATCCATGATCAAGAATCGGCTATTATATGCCGACTAACAGCATTACACTGAGAGAGATTACGTTAACAAAAGCCTGGATCACTGTACGTTGGACTGAAACATTTGTTTACTGAACTTGATATATCGCCGGAAACGAAAGATTGTGTGTACTGATTTACGAAGTGATCAGTTGTTTTACAACAGGTATCTTTAACTTGCCAAGAAGAGAGGAACCGACTGAAGGTTGTAAAACATCAACTTTCGTATGCATATCCTAAAAAAGGTATGATGGAATGAATGGATAAGCTCAAGACAGAGAATCCGCAAATTATGCTGCTCAAAATCCGAGACTCGGCAGAAGCTTACAATACAGCATCCACAGGCAGAGAGGAAACAGAGAAAAAGAATTGGTGCACTCACGTGGCAAAATTTTCCACAGCTAGCTTCCGTGCAGCTTTGCCCAAACCAGTCAGTCCGTGTAGCTCAGCTAGTGCTTCGACACCCAGGCAATTGGATATGTCCAAGTGTTGCTCCATAAACCGAACACAAGCCTTCATGGCAACTGGGTAGTCTAGCAGACTAGCAGCGTTGAAAACGTCCTGAACAGTGGTTACGGACAACTCTAGAACTCCAAGATAGGCGAAATCTAACAGACGTCGCAGTGCCCATGGTGAGACATGATCCAAAGTGACATGGGATGTTTGTTGCTCTTTGTAAGGTGAAGAAAACATAGCCTGAAGAAAGCACGGAGTAGATCCGGGTGTGAAGGGATGGCAAAATAATTTACGTTCAAAAATTTCGAATCCAGGAATTAGATCACTGACCGAATTTCACTGAGCGAAAAGAAGTTTACAATGACACACAAGCACGAGAATAAGCGACTGGATAGTCATTTGTACGCTTTTCATTCACATTTTATTCTAGAACTGCTGTGTCCGGATCTCGTTTGATCACAATGTACACACAACAAGATATCACACGATGACACACGAGGAACACACGTACCTCAACGGCCACACTAATCGTCTAGCCTCACGCGTACGATCACAGCACAGATTGGACGCCACGAGCACTAGTAGCCTTCTTCCAACTACGTCAGCCAGAACACAGTTAGTGCACAGAGAACGTGTACTTGACACACAGGAAGCAAGTCAATTTACAAGTTTTACTCTTATGCTTATATGTGACTCAAAATAGCATCGATTAATGCAAGAAAAAGATTATGCCAATCAAGTACACAGTTAGCAAAGTTCGATCGATCACAAGTCACAGAGTTAGCAAAGTTCAATCGATCATAAGTCACGGATCGGACGGACGGAATGAATGTCTCCGTATGACGCGATATGATTGATTATGCTCCGTGAGATTGGTATTGATTAGAGGTGCTCAGAATTGCACATACTCGAAAAATAGTCAGTTTTAGGTAAAAAAAAAATAGTCTTTTTACCTAACAAGAACTGTACATTTTATTTGATGAAATAAAATATGGGAATAGTTCAAAGGGGATTGAAGGCACTCGTTGTTGATAAAGCCGAAAGATTTTCGGCGATAGACAGGTTTACCATTGCATGGTTTATTTCACCGCCTACTACCAAAGCCATATGTAGTTCTCCACTACAAATACCAGGATCGAGATTACTGATTTTCAGTATCCACCGGTGGATTGCAGTGACTAGAATTGCTATTCCCATCTAG